GATCCCAATGCACGTGGTCAGAGGACATGACTCTTCATGGTTCTGGTCCTTGGATGTTCAGGGCGACACATCAGGCAATGACTGGATGACAGAATGTGATTGTCTGCTGTATCCGGTGTATCAGGATGTCCGGTCTCACATATTCTCAATAGTTTATCGGGTGAATTGGCTCCGGACGAAAGCACTGCGTGATCGTTGGAATGAGGAGGTTATTCTTGTCAAACATGAAATGCAGTGGTCCATTAATTTCTTTAACCACAAAGCCAAGCAATGGCTCAGTCACATGGACACCGCGACTTCTGCAGGGCTCACCGGACATACATGTTATGCTGCCCGACAATCTCACATATATCACCAACTAGCAGGACATGCAGAGGATACTTTCCGGAAGATGATAGGTCAGCCAGAACTACCGGTTTGATGGTTCATGGTACCGGTCGGATAGTTCATGGTACCGGTCAGATAGTTCATGCCACCGGTCAGATGGTTCATGGTACCGGTCGGATGGTTCATGCCATCGGTCGGATGGTTCATGGTACCGGGCGGGTGGTTCATGTTACCGGTTGGATATATAGTTCATGGTGCCGGGTGGATAGTTCTTGGTACCGGTTGGACAGTTCTTGGTACCGGTTGAATCTTTCATAACACCGGTTAGGTAATATGAAATTATGGTTGACACATGTAAATAATTCTGAGTGTCAGTCTCACTACAGCCTCACATTCCCTCCATGAACAATACTGTACAGTGGCTCAAAAAACTGTCCACATGTTTTCACATTTTTCACTATCTATGATATTGTGTGAGAATATACAAACACCTCAAGGACATGCTGGTACATATTGTAGCACCACTTCAGGGCTTTCAATTGAGCACTATGGCGTGGGAATTGGTTGAGATATGGTGAGATATGAGGCTTCCAAAATGATGACTCATGCGGACAGTTTTTTGACTCAAGTATTTTACAGTGATAATCAGGTATTCTAGTACATTGTGTGACCTCCCTTGGCTTTAATTACTGCCTCTATCCTTCTAGGCATACTCTTAAACTATATCTAACTATATAAACCAGAATGTTCATGTGTCATGATCATAATCACCATGAAAGCCATCTCCTCTGCTCAAAGGGATAATATCCTCTCTTTGTCCTATTCTGGCCTCTCTGCTCATCAAATTTCCTCTAGAACTGAGTATGCAAGTCTACTTGGCCAATTTATCAAAGAAAGCCACCTGGACAAGGAAAACTCTTGTGGAGGATGTCCACCTCTACTAATAAGAGGGCTATCATTCAACATATCACTACAGGAAAGGCTGATAATGCTGTCCAAGCCACCCATTATATCAATTCCACCATCACCACCACTGTCTCTTCACAAACTGTGAGGGATGTTCTCAAGGCAGCTCTCAAGGCAGTAACAAAGAAGAAATGCCTCTTCTCTCTATCAAACATAGGCAGAGAAGACTACCTTTGGCTTGGCCCATCAAAACTGGACTGTAGAGGACTGGAAGCATGTTATATGGTCAGATGAGACCAAAATCAATAGGATTGGGTCAGATGGGAAGGTATATGTATGGAAAAAGAAGGGAGATTTCTAACAGACAGAGAGGTTGTGAGACTGTCAAATTTGGAGGAGGTTCTCTAATGGTATGGGCTGTATGGATGGAATGGTGTGGGTATGCTTGCTGAAGTTGAGGGGAGGATGGATGCTGAGCAGTATGTGGACATTCTAAATGACCACTTGCTGCCTAGCATAGCTGAATCAGGGATTGATGAAGAAGACATCATTTTCCAACAGGCTAATGATCCCAAGCACACATCTAGGAGAGCCAGAAAATGGTTTGAAGAACATAATATCAATGTTCTTGACTGACCAGACAGTCCCCTGATGTCAATGTCATTGAACATCTCTGGGGAACACTCAAGAAGAAGCTTCAAGCCTGAAACCCCCCTAAAGGAGTATGGAGCTATGGGAGAGAGTAGCAGTGGAATGGGAAGGATTGCAACAGAATATTGCCAGAAATTGATTGAGAGTATGCCTAGAAGGATAGAGGCAGTAATTAAAGCCAAGGGAGGTCACACAAGTACTAGAATACCTGATTATCACTGTAAAATACTTGAGTCAAAAAACTGTCCACATGAGTCATCATTTTGGAAGCCTCATATCTCAACCATATCTCACCACTTCCCACGCCATAGTGCTCAATTGAAAGCCCTGAAGTGGTGCTACAATATGGTACCAGCATGTCCTTGAGTTTTTGTATATTCTCACACAATATCATAGATAGTGAAAAATGTGAAAACATGTGGACAGTTTTTTGAGCCACTGTAACTCTCATCCCCCCTGACCAAGTCATCATTGCTGCTAAGGGCAATCAAATCACTGCTGGGGATATCTCTCGCCCTTATCTGCGCCTTATTCTATGCCAATTCCCGGTTGTTGGCCATGCGCCTCTATGTTGACAAGAGTTTTGCCACTGACATGCCTGGCTATGCAACAAATTTTTACATCTTGATGAAATGGGAGATGGAGGTAGCTATCCGGCAATGCTGATATTCCCTTGCACTCATCTTCTACACTGTCATACAGACCTTTGTAACTCCATTCATCAATATATCATTTATCACCCAGTTGTCCGCTGTCATTCCCCACCTTCTCAAGGGGGTGCTTGCAATCATGACCGCACTGTCATGAATGTTACCAACTGCATCTAAATTTCGATTATCAAACCCTAAGTCACCTTATCCGATAAGATTAGATTAGATAGATCCCTGATAAGATAAGATGGATAACTGATTAACGATCACTATCTTTACATCACATCTATACTACATCAACATCATCCATCTATATCCGTAACCATACGAACTCATCATATCCTTAGAAGTCCTACGATTAGGCAATGGGTTACATCATAAGCATCTACAACACTCTACACGCCTCTATGATCGAACCATAACCGAGAGTCCTTTACGAGCTATCTCTCGAAGAGTCATCATCCCTTCACATCGCACACCTTCACTTCTCATGACATGTTAAGAGTTACCTCTGTCATTCACCGAACCCCTTACATTAGACCCTCCGCACAGTCACAGCTAGAACCCTGAACCCCTATCACAGAAAGCATCGCTCATAGAGAAGCATGTTCATTACCGAAGACCCTGGAGAACCCTTAGATCCGATCATACCCGATACATCTCCAGATCCTATCTAGATCCTCAGATCTAGATCCAAGATCCTATCTCTTATCGAGATCCTTAATTACCGCTCGAGACTTCTTGTCACAGAACTCTCTCACACCCTTCTTAATCTCCGTTCACCCTGAATAGAAGCAGCCCCTGAGAACCCTGCTTAATTACCGATACCCTAACCCCTATGAACCCTTACCCTTTTCACCTTGTAGTTGATTGGTTGATAAGACGCCCTATACCCTAGTGCAATGTTATGACCGTATATATTTATCACAAACCTTTCATACTCAGCTATCTCCGCTTAGAGAGTAGTATATAGTTTAGGTCGTAGTCAGTAGTACTCCTTAGACTTAACCTCCTCGTTTCTACGTCATCGTAGGGCCTAGACGTTCCCTCTCAATACTACCCTTGCTTTATCCTCTTCAGACTGAGTCCTGTGGTGTGATCCATACTCCAGACACCTACTAGTTAGGTTAAGGGACGCTGGTCATAACACGCACACACATTGGTGGACCACGACCGGATGTTGATGCTATCCTGCAGGATATCAAGGCATTGCGCCTCTCTGTTGATTCCAATGCATGCGATGACTATGACATTGCTCATATGCCGGACTACTTCAATGACTGGTGGAAGGAAAGTCTCGGTTCTTGCCGGGTGTCCGATATGTTGCCAAAGTCATCCATCAAAGATGTGATGGATTTGGTTGAATTTCACTGTTCACAACTCGTAAGTCCCTCAGATCATGTTAATCTTTGCCGGATGCTCACAACATCCAAAATAGCCGGATCATGTAAGGTCCGGCATGCTCCCATATATTCTTCAGGGTCCGGATCCGCTGCCAGATACAACCGGTTCAACATCTCTTGTGCAGTGCCACAAGACGCCAATTGGGAGAGAGTTGCTGGATATGTTACAGGGAAGGATGAACAATTTTAGAAGCTCAAGTGATAGGTTGGCTGGATTGGTTGGGCCGATTGATGAACTCACAAGGGCTGTCGCATCCTCACAGGCACTCATTGACCGGTTGAACACAGATGTCAGTGCATAGTGCATCCTGGGTGCAGTCAAGGACAACCTGACATCTTCCAGCATCTGGTCAATATGTTATACTATTATATGTTACTGTCATATTCACTGCAATGTAAATGAGAAGCACCGGTTTTTGTCTTTGCAATCAGGCCGTGTGAATGTGAAACTATTTTCTCTAACTGCTATCTCTCCGGCTATCATTCAACAGTGGTGTTTTTCCATCACTCATTTGGTTTTCCAGACATGGTCGCAATCCCACTAGACTGGGCTTTGTATCAGACCTACCTTGCTGGTGAATTGGTTCATGAGATTTTCATGTCCACAATTCATCAACGACCGGCAAAAAACATGAACCTTGGACTCTTGGATATTGACACTTGCATTGCATTAGAGCATCTTGCCAATGTGATGGCCTCTGCATACTCCAATGCCGGTAGGTATGCCGGTCCATCACCACATTCCAGTCAACTCACCACCATACAGTTCATCTCAAAATAGACATGGTCAGATACAATGATGCCCTGGACAAAGATGAATCCGGTCGAAGTGCAAAACGAGAGCAGACCCTCTTCGACAGATTCCCCCCCGAACAGGAGCATTTCTTGACAACACCAGCCGTCATCGTCGATTCCGGAGGTAGAATCATTGTCTGGTATTTGCCTGGAGCTATGGCTGCTATGATGATGGTCAGTCTTCCATTGATCTTCATTTGAATTTCAGCTCAGCCGGACATACATAACAGCAAGATATGCATGGTGCAACGCATTCCATGAATGATTTATTGAAGCACAGCATAACAACTGGTAGGACTGTTGAATGGAGGACCCATCGGTCTAACTTTCATCCAAGTCCGGATGGCAAGATTACGCCCGGTTGCATCAATATATCCCCTGCATGGTTTCAGCAAGGAAGAGAGGTACGTCCGGTCCATATATATGTCATGAATGTTACCAGCTGCATGCATCTAAATTTCGATTATCAAACCCTAAGTCACCTTATCCGATAAGATTAGATTAGATAGATCCCTGATAAGATAAGATGGATAACCGATTAACGATCACTATCTTTACATCACATCTATACTACATCGACGTCATCCATCTATATCCGTAACCCTAGATATACGAACTCATCACATCCTTAGAAGTCCTACGATTAGGCAACGGGTTATATCATAAGCATCTACATGCCTCTATGATCAACCATAACCGAGAGTCCTTTACGAGTTATCTCTCGAAGAGTTATCATATCCCTTCACATCGCACACCTTCACTTCTCATGACATGTTAAGAGTTACCTCTGTCATTCACCGAACCCCTTACATTAGAACCTGTTGCACAGTCACAGCTAGAACCCTGAACCCCTATCACAGAAGCATCGCTCATAGAGAAGCGTGTTCATTACCGAAGACCCTGGAGAACCCTTGGAACCGATCGTACCCGATACATCTCCAGATCCTATCTAGATCCACAGATCTAGATCCAAGATCATATCTCTTATCGAGATCCTTAATTACCGCTCGAGACTTCTTGTCACAGAACTCTCTCACACCCTTCTTAATCTCCGTCTACCCTGAATAGAAGCAGTCCCTGAGAACCCTGCTTAATCACCGATACCCTTGACCCCTATGAACCCTCTACCCCTTTCCTTCTTGTAGTTGATTGGTTGATAAGACGCCCTATACCCTAGGTGCAATGTTATGACCGTATATAGTTATATCACAACCTTTCATACTCAGATAGCTCTGCCCCAATAGTAGTATATAGTCTAGGTCGTAGTCAGTAGTACTCCTTAGACTTAACCTCCTCGTTTCTACGTTATTGTAGGGCCTAGACGTTCCCTCTCAAATCCATCTTGCTTTACCCTCTTCAGACTGAGTCCTGTGGTGTGATCCATACTCCAGACACCTACTAGTTAGGTTAAGGGACGTCCGGTCTCCATATATATTGAAGTCGCCGGTTTGAAGTATTCTAGAAAACATGGTTTTCCAAAGCTTGACCCGGAAGATGGGTTTTCGCCCAAGGTATCCGCTGCACTGAAAGGTGATGTCGGTCGGAACATTACAACCTCCCTTCAAGGTCCGGTATACTAGTTTCGGCTGCACTTCGAGTCATGCACCCTGATCTTTATTGGGCCGGAATGGAAACCCAAGTCAGGCTGGGCGAATGGGCAACCCGATATCATTTGCATGAGATGTACCATCATCTACAACACTGGACATCCATATTCAATGTTGTGTCGGTCATATGCAATCGCCGGACACCGCCTCATAGAGACCCAAAGTGCCGACCGGCGGCATTTGATATCATGACAACCGCTGGTGTTTATCAGCCGGTTATCATGGATTTTATGAACCTCGGAATCAAATTTCTATACAACTCCGGCTCAATGTTGGCTTCATCATGTCGCCTGGTGAGACATTACATGAATGTTGAAGAAGGCAACCGGATTGTCACTGCGTGGTACATGCGAGACAGCATTCACAACTTTGTCGGGACTCCAAGCACAGAGTATGCAAAATATAGCAATGTAAAATTCAGCGACCCAGTGGAGATGGAATGGGTTTGAGGACTCTGGGTCAACAGACTGTAGATATTTAGACAAGTGATGTCATTCAAAGATATATTTCCGGTAGATCTTGTGTTGCTATACAATGGATCCCCCGGTTGTTCTATGATGGATATGCCAGTTACTGTATGGATGTACCGAATATGGTTTTTGCATGCATGCACCGGTCTCCATTGCACCCCACAGTACCGGCCCACCCGCCTCCATTGCACCCCATAACGCCAGCCCACCCATCTGCATTGCACCCGGTAGCCCCGGCCCACTGGTCTTGATTTCACCTGGTTGACCAGCCCACCCGTCTCCACTGCACCCCATAACCCTGGCTCGATTTCACCTCGTTTACCAGCCCACCCGTCTCTATTGCACACCGCAATGCTGGCTCACCCGTCCTGATTTCACCTGGTCAACCGGCCTACCCATCTCTACTGCACCCCGTAGCCCCGGCCCACCTGTCTTGATTTCACCTGGTTGACCGGCCCACCCGTCTCCACTGCACCCCATAGCCCCGGCCCACCCGGCTCAATTTCACCTCCTTTACCGGCCCACCCGTCTTGATTTCACCTGGTTGACCAGCCCACCCGTCCTGATTTCACCTGGTCCACCGGCCCACCCGTCTCCACTGCACCCCATAGCCCCGGCCCACCCGGCTCAATTTCACCTCCTTTACCGGCCCACCCGTCTTGATTTCACCTGGTTGACCAGCCCACCCGTCCTGATTTCACCTGGTCCACCGGCCCACCCGTCTCCACTGCACCCCATAGCCCCGGCCCACCCGGCTCAATTTCACCTCCTTTACCGGCCCACCCGTCTTGATTTCACCTGTTCTACCGGCCCACCCGTCTGCACTGCACCCCGTAACCCCGGCCCACCCGGCTCGATTTCACCTCGTTTACCGGCCCACCCGTCTCCATTGCACCCCGTAACACCGGCCCACCCATCTCAATTTCACCTCATTTACCGGCCTACCCGTCTCCACTGCACCCTGTAACACCGGCCCCCTCGTCTACATTACATTTCATCTTCCGGCCCACCCGTCTCCATTGCACCCTGTAACACCGGCCCACCCATCTCCATTGCACCCCATACGGCCGGCCCACCCGTCTCAATTTCACCTCATTCACCGGCCTACCCGTCTCCACTGCACCCCGTAACACCGGCCCCCTCATCTACATTACATTTCATCTTCCGGCCCACCCGTCTCCATTGCACCCCGTAACACCGGCCCACCCGTCTCAATTTCACCCCATTTACCGGCCTACCCGTCTCCACTGCACCCTGTAACACCGGCCCCCTCGTCTACATTACATTTCATCTTCCGGCCCACCCGTCTCCATTGCACCCTGTAACACCGGCCCACCCATCTCCATTGCACCCCATACGGCCGGCCCACCCGTCTCAATTTCACCTCATTCACCGGCCTACCTGTCTCCACTGCACCCCGTAACACCGGCCCCCTCGTCTACATTACATTTCATCTTCCGGCCCACCCGTCTCCATTGCACCCTGTAACACCGGCCCACCCATCTCCATTGCACCCCATACGGCTGGCCCACCCGTCTCCATTGCACCCTATTCCCCGGCCTCCTCGTCTCCATTGCACCCCATATGGCTGGCCCACTCGTCTCCATTGCACCCCATTCCCCGGCCCCCTCGTCTCCATTGCATCTCATCTACCGGCCCCCTCGTCTCCATTGTGCCTTATTTACCGGCCCACTCGCTATCACACACTGGATTCACCACCATTCATAATCACCTATATAGTACATTGCTATACTACCATGTATACTATATACCCCCGGCCCATCCGTTTGCCTCGGATACACCACACCCTCGGCCCACTCGTCTATCACGGTACAATTATTGCCACCGGCCCACACCGGATGGCTCGTCTCTATCGGTACATTGTCACGCCCGGCTGCCCGTCTCAGACGGGTGAATTCACTGAAGGGGCTCCTCGTCTAGCACAGCGTCAAGGGATGCAACCGCCTGCTCCATGTTTTCCATGCCATCAGTAGCCTCAGTATCAACATCCACTGAGACATCTCCCTCCTCCGCCCCCTCTCCATCGGACTCCTGGGGTGTCGGTTCCAAGTTCTCCTTCTGGTCTTGGTGAATATCTACATCATCTTTGGGACGCTGCATGCGAGACACGAAGGTGGCTACCTCCACCCTCGGAGTAGACTGCGCAGCGACTGTGTGGGAAGAAAGAAGATAGGGAATTTCACTGGGCTTGTCGTACAACAGTTGTCGCACCGAAGAGACTCGAGTAGGTTGGGGCGTCATCTTGTGGACTAAGTGGACTAGATCACTCGCGGCATTGCAGTTATCGAACGCAAGAACAGCTCGCAGGTAGCCATCTAATGGAGGGATTGCTCTGCCTGACAAGAGTGCAAGATGCTGGACTACGTCGTCCACGAGCTTTCGGTAGTATGCAGGGCGCCAAGGCGGAGGATGTATGTGCAGATGAAGCATGATCGAGTTTACTTTGCGCTTGATTATGAGGTTCCTTGTGTTGTGAGCGACTGTTAGAATAAATTATAAGGAGTTGTTGAATTATGAAGGGCTTAAGTAGACGCACCAAGGCAAAGATTCCTGCAACTGTGGATGTGTAGGGTGAGTGGATCGTTGTGCACGGGTAGGTAAACTAGACCTACAGCTGGAATATGAAAATACTGCGAAGTACCGGTGTAACATATGTATGTGCAAGCCAGAGAAAATCTACTAAATCGTGAGCATTAGACAGTTTGCGAAGTGTGCAGGGACTCTACCGGTGCTATGGTGTAACACCTGCACATTTATTATTTGCGCGTTCCGCACCTTGCGCGGTGCGCGTTTTCGTCAAAAATTGCGCGGTGCGTGTTTCCCACTCCCAATTTTCTTAATCAAATCTGCGTGTTGTCTTTGTATCAGCTGATTGTTTCTACAGCTAGCAGGCCAAGCCACTATATCACACTTAGCGATGATATCTACAAGCACAACACAGACGAGTAAGTCCGTTTCCCACTCCCAATTTTCTTAATCAAATCTGCGCGTTGTCTTTGTATCAGCTGATTGTTTCTACAGCTAGCAGGCCAAGCCACTATATCACGCTTAGGAATGAGTCTCTATTCCGGCTTCCGTTCATTGTGAGTGATGGACATATATTCTACAGTACATGTATTGACGCTGAGTCCTTCAAGCTGCTACAAATATGACGAGACCATGCCAAAGTCCTTGTAAACCAGTACACAATAGTAGCTACTAGCAAGATGTTAGGGCTCAAATACCAGTTTCTCTAACAGAAATTGGCAGGCCTCGGTAATAAAGTGTTCTGCGTGACGGAATGCTGCACCCTCATCGAGAATTTTGAACATAAGATCTTTACAGCCCTCGCTGACACGGCCAAACGACATATCCTTGAAGCGTTTGACGGCATCGCCGTATGGTTGAGGGTTCCTACCATCGAGAAGAAAACGGCCCATACCATTCCACCATGTAGCGTGCCAATCCTCGCTGCAACCGGCCGGGTCATCGCAATCATTCGAGTGCATCAATATTCTTGGTTCCTCCGCAGCCACAATTCGACGATGGTGATCAAGGGCAGCTTGAACATAAACCACATTTAGAAAGACCTCATTGCCCATCAGCTCCCGGTGTGCATGGGTGATCTCGGTAATGGGAGTTTCTGCGAGTTGCTGAAAAGCAAATGGGAAGAGTGAACGGACGTGATATTTGATAGCCAGGTTTATTAGTTGAGCTGGGTGGAAGCGGAAACGTGCCGCAAACACACGGGAAACAATAAATTCTCGTGCATGACAACATTGGTACATGTTGCAGAAATGGAGGAATTTTGTAAGCTTGTTGAGTGTATATGAGCCGGCACGTATCCTAGTACAGATTGTCAAGTGGCTACATAGAAGAATAAGGGCATCAACATACCTTCTGAAGGTAAGCTCGAGAAACAACTCAAAGGCGTCCCGGGATATTCCTTCGAGGTGAATGGGCTTGTCATCGCTCATGCCGTCCAGCTCTATTTGACCGCTGTTCTGTGTAGCAGCAAACATGTCACGAAAGACGTTGGAAGCCGAAGATAAAATTGAACTGCAGAGCTTGTACAGTATGTTCTCAACCTGCCGGCACAAAATATTTCAAGTTGTGAGTCCAAAATGAAGAATAAATTAGTAAAACACACCTGGAAGATATGGCTTGACACATGAAAGTAGTAAATAGGGTGTCGAGTTGCCTTTGACATATTGACGATTCGAAAGGATGTACAAGAACCAAAGATCAGCTATGAAATAATTAGAACCGTATGTTTGCGACTGTTGTTTGCCTCATCCTCACGCGCACACTTTGCTTATGTCGTTTTGGTCATCAATGGTCATCAAACGCTACAGGTGGCTACACCATATTCAAGTCAATCTATTGTGATGCCTGCCACTACCAACTGCTTTGCCCCCAATTTCCGTCTCGCATGCTAAATCAGAATCCGTGGTCTGCAAATATTCGCACTGCCCACGATACTTGTCAGATATTACCGACGCGCCCATCGTATTCTTAGTCAAGAAGATGCCGACCCCAATCCAGCTCACATTTCATATAGATGCTGTATCAGGGGATGGCTATCCCATTGCTTGAAGCCCTCGCACTGCGACCCTCAGGACATGAGATGCAAGATTGGCTCTCTCATACAGCACATTTGCTGGGAGATCTCTTCGTGCTTTTGTCGTCATTTCAGTACAATATGCAGAATCGGTAATCCATCTCTGATATGTATTTTGCATCATTGATTGTGCAACAGCATGGACTGAAAATGTCGTGTTTCCGGAACCAGTGGGCCTTGTTGCACACAGGGCGTCCAGGGCGTCCAAAAAAAATGATCGATGTTGGATTCCTCACCGAAGCAGTCTCGACTTCCCGACAAATCAAACTTACTGAGCTTTCTGAAATGCTCGGAGTCCACAGGAACACATTACGACGTTATATGAAGCGCTATGGAGTTGAAAGAAAATACTCGAACCTTACTAACATCGACCTTGATCTTCTCATCACCGAGTTCAAGAAAAAGCGGCCTGATTCAGGTATAAGGTGCATCATTGGTTTTCTCCGCAGGCATGGACTGCGAGTGTAGCATCGACTGATTCAGGTATAAGGTACATCATTGGTTTTCTCCGCAGGCATGGACTGCGAGTGCAGCATCGACGGGTGGTAGAATCGCTCCGCAGAGTCGACAGATTAGGTCAGGTGTTGCGCGACCGACGGGTCAAACGTCGGCGTAAGTATCATGTTAAGCGGCCTAATGCATTGTGGCACATCGATGGGCACCATAAATTAATTCGCTGGGGG